TTGCTCAGCATACAGATTAGGTATGGTGAAAGAATACAACCTGGTGCATATCTTTCCTAATTTTTAACCATTCAGTGTTTCCTTGTTCTGTTTGAACGACTACCTCTAAGTCTATGTACAGGAGTCTCATGAGCACAATTAAGTGTTTGGGAATACCCATTCTTCATGCTATCCATTGCTTGACATGATCTAAACAGTCCAAAGCCACTGCATAGTCAATAAGCACAAGTACACATCTTTCTGGTATTCTTAGCTTTCAGTCATCATTTGACACCAGCTAATGTATTTCTCATTCCATACCTCTTCTGAGTCAGGCTTGAATTTCTGGCAGTTTCCATCATTGTACTATTGCAGCCACTTCTGAATTATCTTCAGCAAAATTTTACTTTTAAATGCTATAAATTATACTGTTTGATGATTTCCACATTCTGTCGGGTCACCTGTCTTTGGATGGACACAAAAATAGATCTCTTCCAATGGGTTGGCCAGAGAGCTGTCTTGCAAATTACTTGGCATAGATGAATGAGCACCTCCAGTGCTGCATCAGTTTGGTGGAAAACTTCAATTTTCATTCTGTCAGTTCCTGGAGCCTTGTTGGTTGCCAATGTCTCCAGTGTAGCTTGGACTTCTTCCTTCAGTACCATCCATGCTTGATTTTATGTTCCCTTTTGAAGTAGTTGGATACTGACCATTTCGTTTTGGTACAGTGATTCTGTGTATTCCTTCTTTTTTGATGCTTCCTGCATCATTCAATATTTTGCCCATAGAATCCTTCAATATTGCAAGCTAAGGCTTGAAATTTTTCTTCAGTTCTTTCAGCGTGATAAATGCCGAGTGTTTTTCCATTTTGGTTTTCTAATTCCAGGTCTATGTAGAAGACTTTGTCTTCTCAAGCTGCCCTCTGAAATTTTCGGTATAGCTATTTTACTTCATGTCTTCTATTCATTTTAGCATGTCTATGCAGGAGAGCATTGCAGGATAAGCACTGGACAAACAAAGTTGGTTTGAACCATAAGGTCAAGCAGTTCAGGCTCATCAGTTGCTCCTAGGAAAACCCTACATAGGGTTGTTATGAGTTAATACCAACTTGATGGCACGTAACAACAATAACAGCAAGTTTCATAGTCTATTCTGACATCCATTTTTTTTTTTTCCCTTTCTTCCCTGTTGTTGTTGTGTTGTTTTTTTTTTTAATGGCCTTTTACTTTCTTCCTGTATGATGTTCTTGATGCCATCCCACAATTCTTCTGGTTTTTGGCCACCAGTGTCTAACGCATCAAATCTGTTCTTCAGATGATCTCTAAATTCAGGTGGGGTATGTTCAAAGTCGTATTTTGGTGCTTGTGGACTTTTTTTCATTTTCTTCAGCTTCCACCTGAACTTGCATATGAACAATTGAACATCTGGTTCACAGTCTGTCCATGGCCTTGTTTTGACTGATGTTATTGAGCTTTTCCATAGTCTCTTCCCACACATATTGTTAGATTGATTCCTGTGTATTCTATCTGGTTAGGTCCATGTGTATAGTTAACTTTAACGTTGTTTAACAAAAGGTATTTGCAATGAAGAAGTCATTGATCTTGCAAAATTCTATCATGCAATCTCTAGGATCATTTCTGTCACTTATGCCATGTTTTCCAATGACTACTCCTTTCTCTTTGTTTTCAACCTTTGCATACCAGTTATCAGTAATTATCAATACATCTTGATTGCATGTTTGATCAATTACAGCCTGAATAAGTTGGTAAAATTCTTCAATTTCATCATCACTGGCTTTAGTGGATGGTGCATAAATTTGAAATAATAGTGGTATTAACTAGTCTTCCTTGTAGGCATATGGATATTATCCTATCACAGGCAGCATATACTTTAAGACAGATTTTGATATGTTCTTTTTGATTATAAACACTATGCCATTCCTCTTGAACTTGTCATTTCCAGCAAAGTAAACCACATAATTGCCAGATTCGAAGTGGTCAATATCAGTCCATTTCAGATCACTAATGACTATGATATAGATCTTTACATATTGCATTTCAGTTTTGACAGCTTCCAATTTTTGTAGATTCATACTTTGTACATTGCATGTTCCAGTAATTAATGGATATTTGCAGCTGTTTCTCATTTTGAGCTGTGCCCCCATCAACAAATGATGGTTGCAAAAGCTTTACTCCCTTTGTGTCATCATGGTCAACTAACTCCACTTAGAGAGGCAGTTCTTTCCCAGTTATATTTTGAGTGCCTTCCAACCTGAGGGGCTCATATTTTGGCACAGTATCTGAAATACTTAGCTGCTACTCACAATGTTTTCACCTTCTGGAACTATATGTGATAACGTATTGTTAGTCATAAGGTTTTCAGTAGTTAAACATTCAGAAGCAGTCCACTTCTCCTTGGATACCCATTCACCATGGGTGACCCTGCTGGTATTTAAAATACCAGTGCCATAGTGTCTAGCATCACAGCAACAGGCAAGCCACTGCAGTACTGACAGACAAAAATATCCCCCCTAAAATAGTTGTCATAACTTTCTGAGCCGATCTCTTTTTCTTGTCATTCCCCTATTGTTTTGATGCAGCCTTTTAAAAAAGGTACTTTAGGATGACTAAGGCATGTGTATCACATAGAGACCATGCCTGCAGCTATACACTGATGGAAGAGACATTTTCAAACATGTTTTGTTTGGAATGAGGCTGTGCATATATAAACTGGAATCCTAGTAGCAATACTTCTTGACTAACCTTTACCTAGTAGAATAGTAACCCTGGTGGCACACTGAGCTAAGTGTTGGGTTGCTAATGTAAGGTTCAGTGGTTCAAACTCACCAGTCAATCTGCAAGAAGGTAGTCTGCTTCTGTATAGATTTACAGCCTTTAAAACTCTATGGCGTGGTTTACTCTGTCTTATAGGGTTGTTGGAGTCCTGGTGTGGCGCTGTGGGTTAATGCACTGAAAGTTCCTTTGAACCATAAGGTGAGTGGTTCAAGCTTACCTGTCGCTCCTTGGGAACCCTACAGAGGGTCACTATGGGTCAGAACCAACTCAATGGCACTTCACAACAACAACAACATAGGATAGCTAGGAGTCAGAACTGACTAGATGTCAGAGGGGTTTGGTTTTTTAGGTTCCTTTTTGGTATTATAGCAAAGCATAGAAGGGCCAAAGTTATGCAAACTCCTTAGCCATAACCAAATACCTTGAGGGACTGGACTGAGTCACTGGAATTGAGGGCTTATTATAGTTTTGGGGGCTGTCTTTATGAACTATACTCATATGTCAACTGACATAACATAGTTCATAAAGACAACCCTTCTTAGGTAAGTACTGACTGGGGTCTTAAAGCTTTTGAGTGGACGTCTAAGAACAACTATTGGTCTCTTCTCATCCAGAGCAAATAAGAATGAAAAAAATCAAAGACTCAAACAATTAGTACAAAGAACTGATGACCACATGAAGCACAGCCTCCACTAGTCTGAAACCAAAAAACTAGACAGTGCCCAGCTACTACCACTGACTGCTCTGACCAAGATCACATCAGGAGGTAATGGTCAGAATTGCAGAAAAATATAGAATGTAGAACAAAATTAAAACTCATAAAAAAGACCAGACTTAAACTGTTGGAACCTCAAGACAATGGCCCTTAGACATCCTTCAAATCTGAAACTGAATCCACTCCTAGAGATCACCTCTCAGCCAAATAATAAACAGGCCTATAAAGTGAACAAGGAGCTCTGGTAGCGTAGTGGTTACGAATTGGACTGCGAACCACAAGGTCAGCAGTTCGAAACTACCAGCTGCACCGCGGGAGAATGATGAGGCAGCATTTGTCCCAAAACAAGGTTCAGAAAGCAGGGACAGGCAGGAAAGATGGGCAGATGGAAACAGGGAACCCAGGAAGGACATGGGAAGAGCAGTGTTAAATGGAGGCAACTGCAACTAATGTCACAAAACAAAATGTGTATAAATAGCTGAGTGAGAAACTAAGTTGCTCTGCAAATTTTTACCCAAACCACAATAAAATGTTCAAAAAAGAGCAGAAAAACTGAACACACAGCTTGAGCTTCCTGACTCCACGTCTGTGGGAAGGTTCCTATCACTTAAAGCATTTAACAAAGAACAGCAGCAGCAGTGAGCATTAAGAGAACGTACGTGCACTGCTGTCCACTGTGGCGCCCCTGCTTCTGCTCACATCCGGCCAACAAGAATAAATCATGTGGCTTCTTCACTACTCTGCACCATGCCCCAGAGGTTCCTGTGGCTGGAAAGGGCCAACGCCTGGTGCCTTATGAGGACTGATCTGAGTCCAGAGCACTGTGTGAATTCTAGTGACCAATGTCTTGGAGGCTTGAGCCACAAAACAGGGAACTGACCTGCCCAAGGTTTCCAGAGGATGCAACACTGAACTGAAGTAGGAAGTGTGTAGAGAAGAGTCAGTGTGTGCAATGATACCATAGTGGGAAAGGCCTGGGATCTGGTGTCTGATTGAGCAGCCAAAGGGTCTTTGGTTATAATGGCAATTTGTTTAGAACTTTGTCAGGGCAAGCATAGGTTTACACGATTCTACTATGGGGGCCCACGAAGCCCTGATGGTGCCTCCATGCGGAGCAATGACAGATGAGGCCATGGGATAATCGGGACAGAAGACCCCACAGCACAGCAGGCAGAGTTTGAGACTGCCCCTCGGGACAATATGGACATTAGAGGAGGCTTCCAGAGGAGAGGGTGGGCTTACAGTTGGGACTTCAAGGGCAAAGCCACAGAGGAGAATGAGGCAGATTTGGTGCGGGGCTGAGTGAGGGGTTTTTGTGGAAGACTAGTGACCCTGGTAACACTTGATGATTACTCGGATCAGAAGGTGATGTCAAGAACCACTGGAAAAGAGTATCTCAGACAGTGACAGGATGAGGTTCACACAAGGGAGAGAGAGAATGTGTGTGTGTATGCATGCACTCATGAGAGCGAGTATGCCTGCCACAGTGCCTGGGGGACCCTGGTGCTCACCTGAAGGGTGAATGCTCTCTGCGGGCCTGGAATCGGCAGCTTCAGGGCCAGTGCTGGTGCAGACAAACACAGGGCGTCCTTCTCTGCTGTCACGGAGGCTGGAGACTGGAAGAGCCAGACATGTCCCTGAGGCCCCTGCCCCAATGCTACTGGTACAAGTCACCCAAAGGTGAAACTGGGCCTATGACCAGTGCACTTTCACCTGCTCTGAGGGAGCAAGTGTGGACAGATGCCAAAACAATCCCCACTTTACAGGTGAGGAAGCTGAAGCCAGGAATCTGTGTAGGTGTCTAGATGGACCCATGGCAGGGCTGCTTCCTAACGCCCATCTGCAGACCCTCCTCTCCTGTTCCAAGACATACTCAAGGTCAAGTTCTCAGCCTGAGGGGTGAACTGGGAGAAGACAGGGGCAAGTCCACTGCACTGGCCTGGGGCTGTCAGCCTCACCTGAACGGACAGAGACACAGGCATGAGACGGGAGTCCTTCCGAGGCCGCCCTTTCTTCTTTTTTTCCACTGTCTCTGCCTCCAGCTCGAGTTTTCGCTTGGAGAGGGAAGAAGGCTTGGCCACAGGGACTTTGTCATCGCTGTCACTGCTGCTCTCCAAGAGGTCCCGGGACCTTATCTCTTTCACCACCAGGTTTTGCTCCTTCAACCTGCACAAACACAGACGTTCAAGGGTCTTTCCATCTGGTTACTGGTGTGATAATGGTTATAAAACCAAATCAGTGCCCATCCCAAAATAGGAGTCTGAGTGTTGCAAACAGTTAAATGCTTGACTAAGAGCCCAAAGGTTGGTGGTTCAAACCCTACTCAGAGGTATCTCAGAAGACAAGCCCAGTGATTTGCTTCCAAAAGTTCACAGCCTTAAGGAACGCATGGAGCAGTCATATTATACACACAGTTGACATCAGTTGGACTCAGCTTGATGACAACAATGTCATGAAACAAAAAGAAGAGGTGGAAACTTTTGTTGGTTTTTTTCCCCAGCATGTAAATAGCCTAGAGGTTGTCAGTCTCATCTTTACAACAAGAAAAAAACTGAAAACCAGTAATTCTTCTTAGACCCACCACAGAACTGGCATGACAGGCAAGCCATAGCCTCCAAACTGGAGACTACCAAGTCTCACAGCTCACCTGGAGCAGAAGTCCCATGAGCCAGTAACTGGTGGTAGTGGCGGTGCTACATGCCTTCAAGTCAGTTTCACCTTGTCTAGTGTTTCCTACGAGCAGCTGCTGGATGTGAACCACTGCTTAACAGTCCAGTGCTTATCCTATAGCGCCACACCAGGGCCCCTAGTAACTGATAGGAATGGCACTTAAGTAGTGATTAAGAAATTGCTGGAGGTTTAGTGGAGACTTCAGAGTTAAAACTCTCGGACCCACTTTTGAGTTCCTACCCTTTTATTGGAGACCTGAAGCAGCACTGAGGGTTAATGTGCTGAACAGCAAGGTCTGTTTGAACTGCAAGGTTAGTGGTTCAAGCTCACCATGCGCTTCTCATAAACTCTATGCAGAGTCGCTATGAGTTAGAACAGACTCGGTGGCACGTAACTACCACCCTTTTATTAGCTCTACCTCCAAAAGCTTGCAGTGAAGATAAAACTCTAGTGAAGGAGAGGAAAAAGAATGCTTTTAATTACTCCCAGAATTCTGGTCTCTATAACACAGGTCTGTCCTTGAGAGATGTGTTTCCAGAGCCAGTGCTGACCTGGGAAAGGGCCATCAGCTTTCCTGGTTCACAAAAGAGAACACTGAAGGCCACAGCTCAGAGACTCTGGCCCACCAGAAACACAGGGACTTAATAAGATTATATAAGGATTGCCATCCCCAACACCTCCCCACCACACCAACTGGAATCTGCTGTCATAATAATGGACTCTAAGTGAGAGGGTTGCAAGACACAGACTCTACTTAAGAAGCAGTCTCTAGGGAAATTCAGAGTAAACACAGCCTAATTCCTGGCTTGATAAACATAAAACCTTATACTCAGGCCTATTTATCTCAATATCTATTACCCAATACAATGGCTGCTAACAGCTATGTGGCATATAAAAAGGCAATAACATCAGAGTCATCTACTTCTCCAATCATTCTCTTGCCCCCTTGTGACACACCAGGGCTAAATTCAAACCATCACTTTCTTGTCAGCACAGCCTCTGCACTGATCCACCTTTTTCCCTCCCCTGGACTCCTCCAGGCATTTTCCTGTCCTAAGAACCCTTGGGCTATGGCTCACTAAGGACCCTGCAGGCTTACTCCTGTGTCCTGGGGTAAATGAAATGGGCTGCCCCATGGAAGGGTAGACTTCTTGGTGGAAAAGTAGACCTGTTCCTGTTCCAATCTCTCTGGGACCCATGCAGCCACCACCTACCTTTCGACAGCTGTTGGTGTCACACTGGTCAAGACAGGAGTACCTGACGTGGCTTTGGATCGCTCCGTGAACCGGGAGTCAAACGCTTTCATGGGTTCAATCTTGGACGGGGTGGTGAGCACTGAGGGGGATGATGCGGTGGGAGTAGAGGTAGCAGTCACACTAGGGAGGCGCGTTGGGGGACAAGAGAAGAAGGCATATCAAGTTAAGGATCTGAAGTCTGGAATCTCATTGTTGAAGCAAAGCCAAAGGGGAAATGAAGTGAAACGTCTACAAACACAAACAGTTCCAAATACAATCTACTATTCCAAATCTTTCTTTAACATCTTCCTGTGTCAAAGTTCTGGAAGCTGGGTTCCTTCCATAAGATCCTGTGCAATGCACCCATGCCTGCCCCTTTGCATTGTTCTGTGAACTTAAAGGGCAGCACAAGGCCCTCATGGTGATCCTTAGAAACTTTCTCTCTAACCATGTCTCATACGGGCATCAATGGAGACTCACTTTTAACAATTATCAGTTGGGTCTATGGTAATGGCTGTGGTTTGGGCACCACTGCCTACTGGTACTTATTAAAATGCAAGTCCCAAATGTTTTTGTGTCTCTCCACAGTCTCCAGGGAAGAGAGCAGAGTCTCTGGTTTAGTATAGCCCAACTCCTCTCCCCGTTTGCGGCTCTGCTCTTGCTGCTGTCCCTACTCCCTTCTCCACATCTCCTTCCCTTGGTTGGCTTGTAGGGCCCTTGAGGAAGCAGCCCTAAGACAAGCCTTCCTGAGACCTGGTCACCAACCCCTGAGGGCTAGCCATCTCTTCCCAGGGGATCCTAAGAGCTATTTCTATAACCCTGTGGTCATCTCTTCTTTCACTAGCCTATATACTCTCTGAGGACAAGCGTCAATCAACCCAACAATCACCTGTGGGAACTCAGAGCAAATGCCAGGTGAATGTCTGCTGATGAATGAAGAGCTCCTGGCTCTTACTCACATGCACCTGGTCTTTTCTGACTTAATTTGCTTTCCAAGTCTCTTTGAGGAAGTACAACTCTGGAAGTGGAAAGGTGTGTCTGAGCACTGGCTGGCATGAAGGATATTGCTTCAAGAGGGCAAAGATCCAAACCCCAGAGCTGCTGGGCTCCCTGCAGTGTAGTTACTACAGAGGTGACTTCTCACCAGCATCTCAGCGCTGGGATCACACCTTCCCATCACATCCACTACGCTGCTACACCCTCCTTGGGCAGTTCTTCTGGCTCTGTGTATCAGAGACTCATGGAACTCAGTGTTCCTCTTCCCAGCACACCTCCCTTTGACATCAAGCATTTGTGTCCTTGTAGAAGGGGCCACCAAGTGCGAGAGGAACAAAATTCTAGGTACCTGAAACAGTCTCCAATACCAAACTTTCTTCAGGGACTAACCTGTCTTTACCAACAGATTCACCCGTAGGCTTGGAGCCTGCTGCAGCAATCTGCTCTGTGGAAGGCTTCGAGACTCCGAAGGAGTTGGGGGTACTGGAATCCAGGGGCAGTAGCTGCGACCCACTGTGAGAGGAGAGCATGGTGCCCGCCAGAGACCCGGAGAGTGGGATGCTGTTAAAGAATGCCGTGGAGAAGTCCCTGTCACCAAGCAAGAATGACAGTCAACCTCAAAAATTAGAAATCACAATTACTTTATACATTTGAAAGAACGTTTTTCTCTTTTCTTCTGAATAACGTCAAGTCAATTACAACTCAGCATAACCCTACAGGACTGGACAGAGCAGTTCCTCTAAGGTTTCCAAGACTACCAGTCTTTTCAGGAGCAGATAGCTTCACTTTTTTCCCACAGAGTGGTTGGTGGGTTTGAACTGCCAATTTTGTCATTAGCAGACCAACACCTAATGTACAACACCACCAGGGCTCCTTTTTCTTCTGAGTACAAAGGAAATATAAAAAATTCGTAAAGTTACAAAAAAGTAGAAAGAAATTCGATGTACTATATTTAACTGAATTTAAGAAACTATCCATTATATCCATTCTAGAACTTCTAAACTATCCATTATATGATGCACTGTACATTATGCTGTGGACTCCTGGTGTGCCACTATAGGATAAGCATTGGATGGTGAATCACAAGGTAGGCAGTTCAAACCCACCAGCTGCTCCTTGGAAACCCTATACAGGGTCACTATGAGTTGGAAGCGACTCGATGGCCCTTAATAATAACAACAGTACATTATGTACCACTAGGAAGGAATAATTGCCAGATGCCATCGATTATAAGATGCACTCTAATTTCAGAGGTGTTAAAATAGGCAAACATATTGCTGCTATTGTGTGCCTTTCAGTTGATTTGGACACCCAGCGATCCTACAGAGCAGAGTAGAACTGCTCCATAGGGTTTCTAAGGCTGTCAATTTTTAGGAACACACAGCCACATTTTTCTGAAGCCGAGTGAGCGGCTGGTGGCTCCAGGGTTCTTTTAAGCATGCCTTAGAAATAATGAAATGCAGTAGAGATAGAGGGCTACTATGTATAGGCTGTGTGATACCTAACCCAGCGTCTTCTGAGGAATGACCCAATGTCTTCCAGCTTTTCTTGTAACAGATTCTGCTTTAACAGGAGGCAGTATTAGACTGAAGGCCCTGGGCCAGACCACTTAGATCTGATTCGTCTCCCACTTGCCAGCTCTGTGACCGTGGGTACTGCATCACATCCACACAACTGTTACTGTTAGACTAACGGAGCTAATGCAGCATACATTTAGAACACTAATAGGTCTTCAGACATGACTGATATTCTAATAATTACCACTCCCATCATTTCATCCACTGCAACAGCAAATGGAATGTTCACTGATGGCTTTTGATGAATATTTCTCAAATATCCTCCTGAGAGATTTAACCAACTGACTGTCTGAGAGTGCTTAATTTCTTACAACCTCCCCAAGTCTTATCAAATGTCTTGATATTTACCAATTAACCTGATAGGTGAAAGATGGGATCAGATCATGGTTTTAATTTGCAATTATATTTTGAGATCTAACTTTTTATCATATACAAATATTTGATTTCCTTTTTTGGGAACTGTCTGTTGATAGCCTTCATCTATTGTTCTATTTGGTTATTAGTCTTTATTTGCTGATTGAATTGTAGGACCTCTTTACCTATTAGGAAAACCATCCCTTTATGAGTAGGAAATACTTTTCCCAGATTGTGTTTTCACTGTCAATGGGTTATTTTTTCCTAATAAAAAAAAAAAGTGCTATTTTTAAGTAGTTTGATCTTTAAGTGTTCTATTTTACTTTTGACAACTTCCAATTTTCCTAAACTCATAATTTTACACCTTTATTCTTTCTCTTTTTAACTCCATGGGCTAGATGCTCTAGAGCAATGTTAAATTATAGTCACAAGATAGTTACTTAGTTCTTGAATTTAATTTGAAATAACACAATCATTGATTCCCATCAAGATGCCTGTGAGCATCTATGGAAATGGATAAATACTTATTTCTTCTGACTTATTAACATGTACAATTACATTAATACACAATTTGAGCCTCCTTGCTGTCATGAAATAAACCTTACTTGATCATAGTACACCAGTCTGCTACTGTCCTATGTGGTCCTGTTTGCTATGATTTATTTGGGATTTTCCATTGGTGTTCAGAAGTGAGGATGATCTTGAATTTATTATGTTCAATCTTTATCAGATTTTGACATAAACAATGTTCATTTCATAAACAAAATCTGTACGCTTGCCTTTTTTCTATGCACTAGAACATTTTAAGTAGCATTCAAGCCATCTGTCCCTTAAACATCTGCCAGGATCCCCTGGGGAACTCTCTCAGCCTGGTGGCTTTGGTGGAGGCTAACTCTCTGATGATGAGTGCCCTATTTCTTCTATAATAAGTTATCTCTATAGACTTCCTTTAGTTTAGTGACTCTATTTTTTAAAAAGATCATCAGTTTTCACATTTATCTGTACAATCAAGAACCTCTTATCCTTTTGATTAATAATCTGTGGCTATAATCTAGTAGAAGGAGCTCTGGTAGCGTAGTGGTTATGCATCGGGCTGCTAATCTCATGGTCAGCAGTTCAAAACCATCAACTGTTCCGTGGTAGAAAGATGAGGCTTTCTGCTTCCGTAAAGATTTATAGCCTCGGAAACCCTATGCAGGCTCGCTATGAGTCAGAACCAACTCCACGGTACATAACAACAACAACATAATCTAGTGGGATACCTACACTTACGTTTTTTTTTGTTTTGTTTTGTTTTTGTGAATTGAGTGATAGTTTACATAGGAGAACATCCGTTTTACACTCATTATTTCATTGCAATGATTATAATCTTCTCCGTGTATCATCATACAACAGTATTTGCTTCTATTCTCTGTTTTTTTTTTTTTTGGGGGGGGTAGTTGTACACAAAAACACTCAGGAATATATAATCATTTAAACAACCAAAGGGCACATTCTATAATCCTGCCTCTTGGCTGCCAGCACACAGCCTTTCTCTTTCTATGACTCTAGAGTCCTCAGCTGCTCTATCTTTCCATGTCCTCCTCATCTCTGCCTCCATCTCTGGTGTCGCTGCTCCTCTAAATAGGGTCCCGCATTTTGTTTGTGCTCTTCTTCCTTGATGGTCCTAGGTTCCTACTTATGCTTTTCTTGATTGGCTAAGCTAGCAATCTATTCTGGTTTGTAAGGCAATGTTGAGGGTGAAGAAGCTTTTCAGACCAAAGAAACAAAATTTAAATTCCAGAAATCTGTACCCTATTGTCAAGAAGTTGGCTCGAGGCCAAGTAGAAGCCCACGTTCCTCTTCCGTCGACTCATAGAATGAGGGCTGGAAGAATCCAGAGAACAAAAGTACAGCCACCAACCACTTCTATCTCCATGGCCTTGCTCCCTCAGGCCTAGCAATATTCAAAGCATGTTCACCTGATTGGTCTCATTTGGTCCTAATGAAAGACAGACAAGTGGGCATGACCCCTGTAGGGTCCCAAGGGAGAAAAAGCTTGGTCCAAGGAAAATCACTGTTCTGGAAGGAGTCAGAAGACCTGTTTCTAGCTCCACATGTTCAGGTTTCTGCCTTTCACATTGCCCAGGAGTCCCACTTCTAGGAATAATCCTGGAGGAAATGTCAATGGTGTGCTCAGAGATTCCCTTACAATATGAAATCACAAACCACTGCCATCAAGTCAATTCTGACTCACAGCAATCCTATTCACATGCCATGGAGCTGCTGGTCGGTTTCAACTATCCAACTTGCAATTAGCAGTTCAATACCTAATGCACAGTGCCCACCAGGAGTCCTTAAGTCCACAGTTTAGGAGTTGTTAAACCAATCACAATTTGTTCATAGGATGGGAGTCTGGATAACCAACAAGTCAGAGGACTATTTATTAAAATGGGTGAAATGGTCAAGATAGAGTAAGTGGGGGACAGGAAGCAGGTGACATCAGATATAATCCTACTTTACACTTACACAAATATTCACTCAAAAGACTGGAAATAAACTCTTAACAGTGATTACATTTGAGAAGCTGATAATGTTTATGCTCTTTATGTTTTTACCATTTTCTAAATTATCAACCATTATGTATTGCCTTGAGAATCAGAAAATAGGAAAAGGGGAAACGTTAGCTTTCTTTACTAGCTAGGTGTGTCCTCCAACCCTCTCACAGAAACCAAGCCCAGGAACCACTGACCTGAGAGGATGCCCCATTGGCCTTTCTGCCAGGCCTCAGCTGCCCCCATCCGCCCTGCAGCATGAGCAAGGTATGTATAAAAGCTCTGTGGGGAGCATGGGGGGGTTTTGAGGCTGGTGGAATCTCACTTTCATCTTCTATAGGTCAGAAGGGTACCAAGAATCCGCGAGGACTCTGAATATCAAAGTATTGACTGGCAAAAAGAGATAGGAAGACCCCATTCCCCACCCATGCCCCCTAGCTGGCCACAGAAAGCTTGATGAATGCGCAAGTACCCAGTGTCCAGCTGTGCTATGCAGAGAGGCGTGATTCTTCTCCGACCGTCTGCTGTCCGTGTCTCAACTTGTTTCTTTAAAAGATTCTGGCAAGGTAAGAGTACATAAATGGTAGGTTTCTCTCAATTGTCTCTCAATATCCAAAAACATTTAAGGACTTATATTGCTAGACCTTTTTGGGACAACCAAACTAAGCCACTCTATCAAAAACCCAGTAAAGTAGGGTACTCAACTTCCTATATGAAGAAGTTCCCAAATGAATGGTGCAAATCCCTCCTTCCCCGACACCATCACTCCGGCCTGTCCAGGTTCCCAGGACAGAGTCATGCTGGGCTGGCTACCCCAGCCCCACAGCCTTGGGGGCTTACTAGGGGGACTCCAGGAAAGAGAGCTGTACCCTGAGTCATACTCTTATCTCTAAGCAGGTGATCCCCACATCCTGTAATCACAGTCCTTTCCTCTACTGAAGACTTAGAGCAAGGTGGGGCCGTATACATTAGGTCAGAAGCACCTGGGAGAGGTCTGCCAGCCTCCTCAAGCTCTTGGAGATAGTGGAAGCTCCCTAAGTCTTTGCAGCACTTCCAGCTCCCCCTACCCCTACCCCGTCCACCGAGTGAAACATGGGCTTCCAGTTAAGTTCAAGGCCTACACAGATGAAGAGTCAAAAGCCCACTGTTCTCAGCATCTAGAATGTCTTAGAAAGCTAGCAAGCAAGGAACACCAGCTCCTATGGGAGACAACCTCACTAGGATACGCCAGGACACGAAGGCTTGGACAGAGGTGCTTTAGACCCTCTGACAGAACCGTGCAGTTGACGGTAACGGGAACAGATGGCCACAAACTGGCTTACACTTGAGTCCGACATCAAGCTCAACACATAAGCACTTCATCACACACCACCACACCGTGTCCTGACTACCTATTGTTCTGCCCTGTCCCTTAGCATGTTCCCGTGTTCTAAGTGCCACAGGACCAAGTCCTTACCTTCCTGATGTCCTCTAGACTCTCCCCATTGACTGCAACGGAGGTAGCTGATCCTGTCTCTCGGGCCGAGGCACTCTTCTGGTCCAACTGTTGCTGCTGCCTCCTCTGGTACTTGAGCATTTCAGGGTTCTCGATGACGGCTGTGGAGAGCTGGGCCTCGGTCATGATAGCCAAGCTCTTCCCATAGGTAGATTGGTGAATACGACTCTGGAGGGAGCAGAGGTACAGCAGGCCAGACGTGAGTGGTGACATGCTGTTTCTGCTGGTGTGGCCTCACCTGGCTGAGAGCAGAAAGAGCCACGCAGAAGAGACCCAGAGCCCTGGTTGCTAGCTCTCTGAGTCTCCAACTGTTTCTACCTCTGACTGCTGAGGTAAGTCTGCAGAAGGCAGATTCTCCCCAAGATGTGCATACACTCTGTGTTTGTATAGGTGGGGATGTAAGTAAATGAGATGACTGCCAAGGGAAAACCAATCATATGGCCTGACATGGAACACATGGAGATGAACATTTGCTGAAGTAAAATTATGATGTCAAATTGCTAACTTCAGGCTCTTAAATCACACTGAGAACCCCAGACCCTCTATGGAAATCAGATATTGAAATCAGGGGTTTGCTTCCATTGCTCTCATCTTTGGACATCAGCCCCACATGGTGGTAGGTCCCTGTGGAGTTGCTAAGTGTCTCTAATAGCTTACACAGCACAGACCTGTGGGAGATCTTTTGGCATCTCGCTTGCCCATATACCAATCCTTCTTAGCAGAGTCCCCTCTCTCCCTCCCACCTTCCCAGGCCTCATTCATCCTGTGCTACCAAAAGCTGCACAGGGAACCCACACGGGCAGGGACAGTGTCCCCAGAACATCAGGGTGTGGAATGCAGAGCAGACACATACAACAGGCAAATGACCACTGTGACATCCGGCCCAGGACCATTATCTGCCATCAGAGGCTATTGGTGGTAAGTTGGAGGTCCTGGGTAGTCTGGGAACTTGATCCTCAGAAGTGGCCAATAAACGTCCTCCCTTGTCTACTTGGCTCCTGCCCCTCTCTTCCAAAATCATCCCCTGAATCTACAATCAACATTCAGTTTGACCAGCATTTCCTTTATGTTCCTCTCCACAGTGCCTGTGCCTGTCACCTGGGAGAGGGGACATGAGATGGGGTTAGTCTGCGGGCTCTCACTGTGACTCTGCAATGGGAGGGGATGGGATGACAGTGACAGGGCAGAAACAAGACCTGTGGTCACTGAGACACTTACTCTCTCGATGACAAAAGCCCTAGTTGTGGGTGCATGGTCAAAAGGCAGATTCTGCCTGATGGGTCACGTGTCTGAGGGGGCCCACAAGCAACTTAACAAAAGTGTGGACAAGTAGTAGTTTTTTTAAGGGAACGGTGACTATGGCGCTGGGCATTTCAGGCCCATAAACAAATTTCATGAATTGGCGACAAGGTTCTAGGCAAGGCTGGGTTCTAAGTGTGTATATAGTAAGTAGAACAGAGCCTTCTGCAAGGCCACATGCCTCACACTGAACACGGAGGAGGGCCTGGCCCAGAGGCTGCAGGCCCCAGTTCATGGTCATGCTTCTATTCTCACGCCTGAGGGTCACACAGGGTCATGGCAAATGGACTGCACATCTTGTAAAAGTTAGGCATCTCATTCACCCCTCTTCTGTCAGTTTGTCATACTGTGATGGCTTGCGTGTTGCTATGGTTCTGGAAGCATAATCTACCAGTATTTTAAACACCAGAGTCACTCACAGTTGACAGGTTTCAGCTGAGCTTCTAGAGTAAACCCGACTAGGAAGAAGGAGAGATGACCTACTTACGAATATTTAATCACTGAAAACCTTATGAATAGCAATGGAACACTGTCAGTACCAGAATACTGTCAGATACAGTGCTGGCAGATGAGCCACTTAAGTTGGAAAGCACTCAAAATATGACTGGGGAAGACCTGTCTCCTCAAAGTAACGCTGATTATGATGATGTGAATGGAGTAAAGCTTTCCAGACCTTAATTTGCTGATGGGGCACAACTCAAAATGATGAAGGGAAACAGCTGTAAACATCCATTAATAATTGGAACGTGGGATGTATGAAGTATGAATCTAGGAAAATTAGAAATTGTCAAAAATTAAATGGAATGCATAAACATCAATATCCTAGGCATTAATGAACAGAAATTAACTGGCATTGGCCATTTTGAATTTGACAATTAGATGGTTTATTATGCCACGAATGATAAATTAAAGAGGAGTGGCATTGCATTCATCATCAAAAAGAACATTTCAAGATCTTGAAGTACAATGCTGTCTATGATAGGAAAACATCTATACATCCACAAGGAAGACCAGTTAATACGACTATTATTCAAATTTACACACCAATCACTAAAGCCAGCGCTGATGAAATTGAAGAAAACTACCAACTTCTTCAGTCTGAAAGTGATCAAACATGCAATTAAGATGTATCGATAATTACTGGTGACTAATGCAAGGTTCGAAACAAAGAGGAAGGATCCGTAATTAGAAAATATGGCCTTTGTGATAGAAACGACACTGGAGATCACATGATAGAATTTTACAAAACCACTGACATCTTCATTGCAAATATCTTTTTTAAACAACATGGACATCACAGACATCAAATCGACTACAAAACAGATGGTGGAAGAGTCCATATCATCAGCTAAAACAAGCCAAGGCAGGCTGGAATAAACAATTGCTCATATGCGAGCACAGGATAAAGATGAAGAAAAATTTCTAAGGTCCATGAGAGCCAAAATATGACCTTGAATATATCCCACCTGAATTTAGAGATCATCTCAAGAACAGATTTGATGTTATTAGACACAGATGACTAAAAAACAGAAGAGTTGTGGGATAACATCAAGGACATCATACAGGGCCTAAGTGCTGGTGATGACAGCATTGGTGGTGGTGGTTGCAGCAGGTCTGTGCTCATGAGGCAACAACGGAGGCGGGGTGGCTTTTACCCAGAATAGGATGTCCAAACAGGGAAGCTAAGGACATGGCAGAAGTGTTTGATATAGACTTGGACCAGCCAGAGGACGTAGACTCTGAGGATGAGCTGTAGAAGGTGAAAGTGTTCAGCTGTTAGAAGTGACAGCTGAAAACTTCTGTCTGGAGCAGCACAGCCGTTGCAGTTACAGCCACCAGGAGTTTTATTTGGGAGCAAGGGGGCTCTGCTGCATCTTCCAGGGGTCAGTTAAACAAAAGTATGGATCATGGGGGAGTTGGACCATATAAACCTGGCTTGGAACATTGTGAGAAATTTTAAATCTCAGAAACTAGTGTGAACAGAGGACCAGAAAAAAATCAGACCAGAATGTTTTGAGCTATTTCAGGTACTTGGTAAAAGGGGATATGGATAAGTTTTTCAACTAAAAGGAGCAAATACTGGGAAAATACATGCCATGAAGGTGCTTAAGAAGGCAACGATAATAAGAAATACTAAAGATACAGCTCATACAAAAGCAGAATGGAATATTCTGGAAGAAGTAAAGCATCCTTTCATTGTGGATTTAATTTATGCCTTTCAGACCAGTGAAAAACTCTACCTCATCCTTGAGTATCTCAGTGGAGGAGAACTATTTATGCAGTTAGAAAGAGAAAAAAAAAGAAAGAGCTTGCTTTTGCTTGACAGAACTCTCCATGGCTTTGGGGCATTTACATCAAAAGGGAATCATCTACAGAGACCTGAATCCAGAGAATATCATGCTTAATCACCAAAGTCATATGAAACTAACAGACTTTGGACTATGCAAAGAATCTATTCATGATGGAACAGTCACACACACATTTTGTGGAATAGAATATGTGGCCCCTGAAATCTTGATGAGAAGTGGCCAAAGCCATGCTGTGGACTGTTGGAGTCTGGGAGCATTAAACAGGCTGACTGGAGCACCACCATTCACTGGGGAGAAACAAAGAACACAAGTGACAAAATCCTTAAGTGTAAACTCAATTTGCCTCCCTACCTCACAGTGTTTGGTATGGATTTCATTTCAATGTAAAGAAAATAAAAATTCTTACCAATGGACCAGTAAACAACATTCTTATTAATGGAGTTGCCAAGGACTTCATTCTTCTTGGATCAACTATCAACACTATGGAAGCAGCAATAAAGAAATCAAACGATGTACTGCATTAGGCAAATCTGCTGCACAAGACCTTTTTTAAGTGTTGAAGAGCAAAGATGTCAGCTTGAGGACTACGGTGTGCCTGACCCAAGCCATGGTATTTTCAATAACCTCATACGCATGCGAAAGTTGGACAGTGAATAAGGAAGACTGTAAAAGAATTGATGCTTTTGAGTTATGGTGTTGGAGAATATTGAAAGTGCATGGGCTGCCTAAAGAACCAATAGATCCGTTTTGGAAGAAGTGCAGCCAGAGTGCTCCGTGGAGGCCAGGATGGCCAAACTTTGTTTCTCATACTTCGGACATATCGTCAGGAGGGACTAATCGCTGGAGAAGGATATCATGTTTGGTAAGATGGAGGGTCAGAGAAAAAGAGGAAGACCCCCCCAGCGAGATGGATTGGCAAAGTGGCAGCAACAATGGGCTCAACCATGGCAACAATTGTGAGGTTGGCCCAGGATAGGATGTGTTTCGTTCTGTTGTGCATAGGGTCACTGTGAGTTGATACCGACTCGATGGCACCTAACAACAACCACCACCACCTCACACAAGAAGCCAGAGATCTCCTTAAAAAGCTGCTGCAAAGAAACACTGTTTTCCAACTTGGAGCTGGTCCTAGGGGTGTTGCAGAAGGATCAGGATCATCCATTCTTCAGATACATTAACAGGGAAGAACTTCTGGCTCGGAAGGTGGACGCCCCTTTTAAACCTCTGTTGCAATCTGAAGAGCATGTGAGTCAGTTTGATTTCAAAGTTTACATGTCAGACACCTATTGACAGCCCAGATGACTCAACTCTCAGTGAAAGTGCCAACCAGGTCTTTCTGGGTTTTACCTATGTGACTCCATCTGTACTTGAAAGTGTGAAAGAAAAGCTTCCCTTCAAAACAAAAATCCGATCACCTCGAAGATCTATTGGCAGTCCATGAATTCCTGTGAGCCCGGTCAAATTTTCTCCTGGGGATTTCTGGGGAAGAGGTGCTTCAGCCAGGACAGTAAATCCTCAGACACCTGTGGAATACCCAATGGAAACAAGTGGAATAGAGCAGATGGATGTGACGATGAGTGGGGAAGCATCTGTACCACTTCCAATATGACAGCCAAATTATGGACCAACAAAAAACAAGCTTTTCCCATGATCTCCAAACGGCCAGAGCACCTGTGAATGAATCTATGAAGAGCAATGCATTCAATGAATTTAAGGCAAGACAAAGGAAGGATGTGTGAGCATCCTGCAAGGTGAAATAAGAAGACTCGAAATGACAGTCTCAAGGAGTCAGTGTCATTATATCAGAACACTTTGAACAGAACGAAATATAAACATGGATTTTAAAAAATCGATCAATGGTGCAAGAAAGAAAAAAACTAGCAGAATAGTGTTGTGGAACTCTAAGGCACATCAAGTAACTGACTCTTAGTGACATCTTTTCAACCTTATCAAGGATTTTCATGTTGATGGCTCAAAACTGACAGTATTAAGGGTAGGATGTTGCTTCTAAATCACTGTTGCTTTCTGATTGTGTTAAATAAGGGTTATCCTTTCATTAGGCCAAGTATGAAGTTGCCTATAATACTTGCAACTAAGGACAAATTGGCATGCAAGCTTGGTTAAATTTTTTCCAGCAACATGGAATCAAAGACAGAAGAAAACTATCAATTGATGTTTTATGTGCAAACAACCTGAATCTTTTTTTTCATCTAAACATATATTTTTCAAATAGATTTTTGATTCTGTTCATTATGCAATACATTCCAAACTTTAAAACATGAAATTGTTGGTTGGTGTGAAGAAAACCTGACAACTTCTGTTTATTCTCTTGGTGAAATAATAAAATGCAAATGAATCATTGTTAACCACGGGGGGGGGGGGGGACGACACACGGGGGTACCAAACCATCATACAGGAAGAAAGCAAAAGGTCATTAAAAAGAAAAGAAAGAAGGAAAAGGCCAAAGTGGATGTCAGAAGAAACTCTGAAACTTGCTCTCCAGTGTAGAGCTGCTAAAGCAAATGGAAGAAATGAGGAAAAGAAAAAGCAGAATAGAAAACTTCAAAGAAGGGCTCAAGAAGACCAAGTCAGATATTACAATGAAATGTAGAAAACGAAAAGGAAGAACACTTCTCATGCATGCTGAAAGAACTGAAGAAGAAATTCAAGCCTCAACTGCAATATTGCAGGATTCTATGGGCAAAATGCAGAATGATGCACAAAGTATCAAAAGAAGATATAAAGAATACATAGTCACTATACCAAAAAGGCATGGTCGATATTCAAGAATTAGCATATGATCAAGAGCAAAAGATACTGAAGGAGTAAGTCCAAGGTGCACTGAAGGCATCAAATAAGGCTCCAGGAATTGATGGAAATCATATTGAAATCTTTCAATAAAATGATGCAGCACTGGAGGCACTCAATCATCTATGCCAAGAAATGTGGAAGATAGCTACCTCACAAACAGATTAGAAAAGATCCATATTTGTGCCCATTCCAAAGAGAGGGGACCAAAAGGAATGTGGAAATCATTGGATATTAAATTATTAATATCACATGCAAGTACGATTTGCTAAAGAGAATTTAAAAATGGTTGCAACTGTACATTGACAGGGAACTGTAAGGGGTTCAAGCTAGATTAAGATGAGGACATGGAAAGAGGGATATCACTACTGACATTAGATGGATCTTAGCTGAAAACAGAGAAAACTAGAAAACTGTTTACCTGTGCTTTATTGACATGACAAGCTATGGACAACATTGCAGAGAAATGAGTATTCTGGAACACTTAGTTGTGCTCATGAGGAATTTGTACATAGAACAAGGTTAGAATATAATAAGGGAACACTGAATGGTTCAAAATTAGGAAAGGTGTGTGCCAGGGTTGTATTCTTTTACCAGACTTGATCAATCTATATACTGAGCAAATAATCTGTGAAGCTAGATTATATGAAGAGGAACATGGTATCGGGATTGAAGAAGACTTATTAATAGCCTATGATATGTAGATGATAGCATCCTGTTTCCTGAAAGTGAAGAGAATTTAAAATACTTAATGCTGAAAGCCAAAGACCACAGCCTTCATTATAGGTAGCACCTCAATGTGCAGAAAAGAAAACTCCTCACCACTGGACCAAATGTTAACATCAAGATAAATAAAGAAAAGACTGAAGCTGTCAAAGTCTTCATTTTGCTTGGATCAACCATCAACACTTATGGAAGCAGCAGTCAAGAAATCAAATGACATATTGCATTAAGCAAATCTGCTGCACAAGGTCTCTTTAAAGTTCAAGAGCGAAGATGTCAGTTTGGGATCTAATGTGGACTCAACCCAAACCATGGTATTTTTAATACCCTCATCTACATGTGAAACTTGGACTGTAGAAGAATTGATGTATTTGAGTTCTTATATTGAAGGAGAATATGGACTGCCAAAAGAACAAATAAATCCGTGTCGGAAGAAGTACAGCCCATATGCTCCTCAGAAGCCAGGATGGTAAGACTTTATCTCTCATACTTCAAGTATATTATCAGGAGGGACCAGTCCCTGGTAAAGGACATCATGCTTGGTAAAGCAGAGGGTCAGCAAAAAAGAGGAAGACCTCTCCAGCAAGATGGCTTGGCACAGTGACAGCAGCAAAAGACTCAAGTAAAACAAGGATTGTGACGTTGGCACAGAATGGAGCAGTGTTTTGTTTTGTTTTGTTGTTGTAGAACTGCTATGAGTCGGTACCAATTTGATGGCACCTAACAACAACAACAAACATACCTCATGGATAAAACAGGTAGAAAATCTTGTCTCGCAGAGTTTTTGTAAGTTTTGAATGAAGTGATATATGCAAAATACATAGCTCAAAAATGGGCATATGTTAAGTCCATTTGTAACTCATTGCAATTGCTGCTCTATGCTCACAACGTCAATATAGAGTGACATGCACGGAATCTTTGGGAGTCACTCCAGCTCTCTGCTAGGATCGAAGCTCTCTGTGTGGCTTATTGTCAGCTCAAGAGGAAACCCCCAAAGTAATTTTAATCTTAATTTTAGACCTTCTTTCCCACAAGAAGGAGGAACTCATCTGAAAATCTGTCTTGTAAAGATCAGGACTGTAATCTATCAAAGGTGAATACCCAATTAACACTTCAGTTTTTGTGTCTGTGTGTCTCACAAGGGGGCCCAGGGCCCCTTGGAGTCATCGTGGCTATTTTTATGGCCAGGACAACCAGGTGGTACCCAGGACAACCAGGTTGTCCTGGGCACCTTTCTCCTACCTTTTCCTTTCTCCTACCTTTTCCTCCTCACTCAGGGGGTCTCCAAGCTCATCCTGGGAGAAGTCTAGGAATGCCACAGAGCCATCCATTGAGCATACCAGGATGCCCAGTCCATTCAGAGTCCTGGAAGAGAGAAGTGTCAGCAAACTGGGAGCAGGTACCAGGGATGGACACACAGCCTCAGTGGCTGGCCACTGCGGGCAGTTGGGGCAGGGCTTCAGGTGGACACTGGAGACCACCAGCTCCCTTCCGTGGCTAAAACCAAATCCAGTGCTATCAAGTCAATCTGGGCTCACAGTAACCCTATAGGGCACAGTAAATTGCTACCTAGGGTTTCTGAGACTATCAGTCTTTACATCAATAAGACAGCTTCATCTTAATGCTTAACCCACTGCACCACCAGAGCTCTTGTGGCTGGCTTGGTGGGACAATGGTCTTCCAGATGACCTTATTGTTGTTAGGGGCCATTGAGTTGGTTCCCCCTTACTGTGCACCTGGTTGGGTTTGAACTGCTGACCTTGCTTATCCTGCAGTTCCATATCAGGACTCTTTCAGAGGGCCTTGGCATCCTTTAATTCTAATCACATGTACAAAGTATCTCTAACCATATTTTATAAGAGTTTCATTTTTATTTAACTTATTTCTTAAATCATATGAAAAATAATGAAGTATGCAGTTCGAAAGATAAGGCTTTCTGCTCCCATAAAAATTTACAGTCTCAGAAACCCTGTGTAGGGTCACTATGAGTTAGAACCGACTCCATGGTACTTAATAACAACAACAATGCATCTAAATAATGTCACTTATTTAGCAGAAAACATGTCTTCAGACCTATGCTGATGTGGTTAGTGAATGCCAAGAAAGCAAACTAAGTCCACTGTCATCAAGTCAATTTCCATGGGTGACAGGGAGGAAGTCGGCTCCTGTAAAAATTTATGGCCTTGAAAACTCTATGGGGCGATTCTACTCTGTCCTATAGGGTCATTGAGTGATGAAGATAACACCAGTGAGGAATCCCACTGGAATGACATCATTCTTCTTTGCTCCGACATTTTTCCAGTGGCAGCATCTGTAAGGAGCATGGAGTGCTAGAGCAAACATTCTCACAAGAGCAAGCCCAGAACTGCCAGCTCCTGAATTGAGGCAAATAGCCCCATGGGGCTGCTTCAGCTGTGTCATCTGGGGAGAGGTGGCCAGTGGTTGACCCTGATCACATCCTTGGACCCCAGGGTGTGGCCTCACTTCTCTTACCAGGAAATGTCCATGATGGATTTGTCAAACAGCTCATGGATGACAACCAGTGGTCGTTTTAGACACGTGAGCTGAAAGGAGAGAAACAGCAACTAAATGACTGAAAACCCCTGGTTATCTGCTCAGTCCCATCAATACTGTCAGTCACAGAAGTCTCAGTTAGGGTTCCAGCTGGCACACAGGGTGTATACAGTGAGCAACTGCTCAGACTCCCAAGCGCGCAAATCAAAGCCTCTCAAGCTATGCATGGCAGAGTGGTCCCTGCTGCAGAGCTGGTGGGGGGACACAGTGTTCTCTACTTGGAGAAACAGCAGAGTGGAGTGGAATGGGTTCTGGAAGGGCTATGGCTCAGGCAGAAGGACAGCCCAAGGCTGGAGTTTAGATCAAGTCTACTGAGCAGGGGAGATGACGTGAAGGGCTGGGAGGAGAGTGAGGTGGCAAAGGCAGCTCCCAGGGCATGAAGCAAAGCTGCTTAGAGAACCCAGACAGCTTCTCTGGGCCCAAGGGGTAGATATTGATTCACAGTCCATTGTAACTGACCATTAAGTAAGGCATTCTGGTTCTACAAGTTGTGTGCAGCTGGTATATTAACATGTCAAATCAGTATACAATGTCCTTAATTCAAATCACTACCACATTTCAATGAATTATTTTCTTGTAGTTTACCTCATTTAGCTATCTCTTTTATTCTTTAAGGCATGGCAGGCACACAGTTGTGCCTACTTTTCCATCTAGCACTAACAAGCATACATGAAGTCACTTGTTGTGATGACTACTTTAGTCCACAGCTCTCCCTGCAGACAGATCCAGAACAAGGAGACACTGGGAGAGGTAAGAGCTCCCACTGGGTAATGATGTTTTTTCCATGTCCCCACTGCCTGAGATGGCCTATGCAGGGGAAGAAGCTACAGAGACCCTAGTCTGGAGGAGAAGGCGGAAGTCTGACATACCCAGCGAGATTCTTGCCCCTCCAATGTGTTTACCCTTTTCTCCTATACTGAGCCCTCAGAAATCTGAAATCCATGAGGCCACATGACCTAACCATTCTAAGAATCTAATACACCATAGTCAGTAATGGTTTGGTCAAAGCATCATGAATGCAGGCTTCAGTTCCTGAATCAAAGGAAGACCATGCCCTCAACTGCCCAGTAAGGCAATAGGGTCCTGGTTCCAGAATGGGTGCTAAATGATAGCAGACCTGAAAAAACAAAATGTACATAGGTACTCTGTAACACCAAATGTAGTAAACAAATGCAACCACAGGATAACTTTTAAATCCGTAACTTCAAATGCACTCTGCTTATAGAGAAATTAAAACAACTAAAACCCTTAAAAACGTGTATGCCTTGGTTTATTTAATCAGTTCTCACAAGGAGATTTTAGGAGGCCTACAGAACACGGGCAGTAAATGCAACAACAAGAGCAGTCTGCCACTCTAAGGCACAGTCACTTGCTGCACCAGTCAGAGGCCCTTCTACCTGATAGAGGAACCCACCACACCAGAACCAAACGTACTGCCACTGTGTCAATATATAAGGTTTCTGAGACTGTAAATCTTTATGGGAGCAGACAGCCTCGTCTTTCTCCTACAGAGCAGCTGGTGGGTTTGAACCTCTGACCTTGTGGTTCGCAGCCTAATGCCTAATCCATAGTGCCACTAAAGTGCGGGTCAATGGCAATGAGATCTTAAGAGAGGACTGCAGTTAACATAGCTGACTTCCTCAGGCAGATGACATCTCAGATTGTCAGAGACTAGTTGAGTCAAAGAGCTGTAATTTAGATACTTAGGGTTCTTATGCTCTGGGTCTCACCCTGAACCTTGCTCCAGATATTTACTTGAAGCTACTGTATGGAGGGTGCTGAGTTAAACCAAAGCTCCACCCCTTTGGACCCATTGTTTTGTGAAGAGCACAAGATTCACAGTCTTACCCACCACAGGTGGCATGGACAAATTCACGGCAGTAACAATGGACCACAAAAAGAAGCCAACACTAAGAACATGTATCATGTCTCTGTGTGCCAAGAAGCACGTACATGTCTTGCCTGGATACCTCTCAGTGTAAGTGATGGCTCATAGGTTTGGCTTTAGTAGAAATTGCCAAACAAAGTCCCATTTTAAATGGCCATCAATGTATTCCTTCCAATGAACAATAAATACCCTTGCTAATACTTGATGTTTTCTTTCTTTGTTTGCTTTTCAAATCTTAATTATTCCACTCCTAGGTATATATTTAAAAGAAATAAAAACGTATGTCCACAAAAACAAAAACAAAAGCCAAACTCCAACTCATGGGGCCCCAACAGGGTAGAGATGCTCCCTAGGGTTTACGAGACTGCAAGTCTTTGTGGAAGCAGACTGCCTTTTTCTCATCAGGCAGCTGGTGGGTTTGAACCATCGGTCTTGGAGTTAGCAGTCCAATGCCTAACCCAGAGCCACCAGGACTCCATATGTCCACAACAAAGACGTATACAAAAATGCTCACAGCAGCTTGAGTCATAATATTTTAATATAGGAACAACCGTAATGACCATTAATAGGAGTATAAAAATGATGGCATAATCACACAGTGGAACACTACACAGCAATAATAAAGAATACACTCTTGCTAACTGCATCAAGATAGGTGAATCTCAAAAACATCATTATTCCAAATTAAAGAAAAGCAAGACACACACATGAAAAAACACGCATGATTTGATGTATAAACACATATAAATATTACATGATTCCATTAATATGAAGTTCAAGGTCATGTAGAACTCATGGATGCTGATAGAAATTGGTAAGAGCAGTTGCCTCAATGGAGAGGTGGGGTCTTGACTGGGAAGGGACACAAAACAGCATTATGAGGTGGTGGTTATGCTGGTATAAATATGTAGATTCACCAAAGCTGTACATTTCAGATACCTTAGGGATGTTAATATGCTCATATGAAGAGTTTTTAGGAAGGTTGCAAACACAACACATTAACTACAACACCCATCCCTGAAAGCGCTCCTTTATCTCAGACACAGACTTGTTAAGTGCTGGGGGTCAAGGGAGGCCTCTGCTGATTTGGCCTCAGGTTCCCAGGAACACAGGTGATGTGTCTCTCCTCTCTTCCAGGCTCTACTACCTTCTTCCCACCCTGCCCTGCCCCACTTCACCCCACCCACTGAAGCTTATAAGGCTCACCCAGACAGAAAGAGAGCGATCCTTGCTGCCCACGGCACAGCAGCAGTACGGGCAGCTGGGCTTCGCAGAACTCCCATTCTTCTGCTTCTTTTTGAAGATTTTGGGGTTGAATTTCTAAAGCCAAGTGATAGACATTAAAATAATGAATCAAGCATCATGTCTGTACCCCATGGCCATGTCATCAGACAAGTACCGGATTCCAGCCCACTGCATGAACCTTCTCTTGGAGCCCCATGCACTCGGGACACGTCTCATCTGCCCAGCCACCTCAGGAGAGGTTTTCTGGATGATGAGATGAAAGGTCAGCTAAAACACAAGCTTGATCACAAGAGAGTAAGTGGTGAGATGAACACACTGTTTCTGGGCCGATGACCTGGATAACACCAACTCTGGGACCTGGGAATAGCAGAGCCTGCGCCTGGTGTCAGATGGCCTGAGGTTTTCATGTAAGCAATGTACAGTATATATATATATAGGTAATATAGACTACATAGAGTCCTGGTATGATGCAGTAGGATAAGCACTGGACTGAAAAGTCGGTGTGAACCGCAAGGTCAGCAGTTCAAACTCAACAGTCTCTGCTTAGAAACCCTACACAGGGTCGCTATGAGTCAGAATCAATTCAACGGCACTTCTCACACACATACACATGCACACACACATACAGAGCTATGGGAGCGTGGTGGCGCCGTACAATAAGCACTGCACTGGGAACCACAAGTTCGTGGTTCAAGTTCGTTGGCCGCTCTGTGGGAGAAAGATGAGGTTTCTGCTCCCACATAGATTTAAAGCCTAGGAAACCCTGTATGAAACCTTACTGTGCGTTGGAACCAGCCTAACAATACAGGTAATGTACAAGGAAGAGTAAAATTTATGCACACTCTGGTTATATTAAAACGCCCATCCACAGCTGACGACAACATTGAGCATACAACGTGAAATGATTCTGTCAAATAGACGAATGACGGTGGATTAAGTGGCAAATCATTTGCAAATCAGACATGGCTCTACATATTAAATAATACACGACAGATGTGGGTTCCAAAAAGTTTGTGTGAGATGGGTACCAAAGCCACTCACAGAAGAATATAAACAGAAGCATTTGGACATTTGCAAACAAAATTTGGACCTATACTCGAAGGATGGTAAGTTTCTTAAAAAATATCATTACTGGAGAACAAACAAGATGGCGGATCGGGAGGAAGTGTTGAAAAGAGCTCTGCCAGCAACAACACAGAATACCCGGCCAAGCAGGCTCAGGGGATGGTCCCAGAACTCTGAACCACATATAAAGGAATACTTAGAAGGTTGGAAGGCTTACAGCTGGGGGAATTTGTG